ATATAAAACCTGCGAATTATTTTGGTATAATTTTTATTGTTGGTTATTTATTACACAAAAATTATATTTAATTGATAGCTAAAATTGTAATTTATATATAATTTTAATATATATAAAAAAATCTGGTAATTTAATGTAGTTTAGTGTATATAATATTGTTGATCAATAGTTAGTTGATCAACTATTGTTTAATATACTATATATAGTGTTGTTTGATCAACAAATATATTGTATTGTTAATTAATAGTTAGTTGATTAACTATTGTTTAATAAATATGGTAAGATATAAATATGTTTGTTTATCATCAATAAAGTTTAAATTTTTTTTTTCTTGCTAATGCTTAACAATTTTAAATAATAACATCATTGAATACAAGACGCAGAAGAAAAAAATCGATGATACTGGTATTACATCCAATACATCTTTTAGAGACATACTTAATAACACAGCAAAAGATATTTCAACTTCTTTTCTGACTAAAAGAACTTCATATGAAACATTTATGGTAAATTATTATAAAGTCACATTTTGTATTGTTTGTTGACATGAGCAACACATTTTCTTGCATCAAAATATAGATCAAACCTAAAGAAAAAGTTGAAGTACAAGTCAAAAAAGTTTCAGTTAAGAATAAGAAGCAAAAGGATGCTAATGTATCTACACGAAAAGTCATATCACAATACAAATCATCGATTCTAGCATTAAAAGAACATATAAATATTGAATACTAAAATATTTCGCTAAATTTACTGATTTTTAGTATACATCTTCCTACTGATAATATGGTAGAACTTGATGATTCAGCTATTAACAAAAACTTGTCTTTCAATAAGGTATATATATTTTTTTTCGTATGTTTATAATTATATCGTGTAATGACTAAAATTATTAGTTTATATTAGAAAAGAAAAAATCAAAAAGTATATGGAAATAAGAATCAAGATATGAATAATGATGATGATATCATCCAATTTCAACCGTCTATAAAAACAGCCAGAAAACAACTAGGAACTCTATACTAATTACCTAATAAGTCTCGACAACAATCTATAAAAGCAAACAAATTATCTGCTTCATTAATAGGGGACTCTATAATACAAAAAACGTTAGAATTACCAATATCTATATCAATCAAATCTGACGCGATGATTACTGATTTCTCTTCAACATCATCAACATTATCTCAACTTCCTGAAATAACAGGTAAGTATTATGTATTCTTTTCATGTAGTATCTTCTGATCCACTTGAACATTATATTATAATGAAGATGTAGGAGATATCAAGCGTAAGAAGTCAGAGGCGTTTGGTGATTCATTAACAAAACATAAGTTGTTTTATTTAGTTATATAATATTATCATTTATAATTAATAGATATTCAAATATTTGCATTTTATAATTTTATTAGATTTAAAACTTAATACAAATATCAAATCTGTACTCGATAAGATACTCAAAGAACAGCTAAAACAGCGCATGATAGTTGACACTTTAAAAGTTGGTAATGATGAAATAAAATGTGAGATCTTTGAGAATCGCAAGCTTCTACAAAACCTCTTTACGATGCTGATAGAAGGACAGTTAAATATGACAACTGAACAAATGCATGGAGAAAAACTAAAGCAACCCTGAAAAGAAAAGACACTAAACATATGTGGTAGGATGTAGGTATCAACCTATTGATGAAATCGACAGTTTTAAATATTTTTTTATTTACTTTAGGCTCCAATGACGAAAGCTATCAACAATTATTTCAAGTAAATAAGAATCCGTCAGATACAGAAATTGAACAAGCTTTTAGATTACAAGTTAAAAATGATTATCCTCATAAGATACAAGAGCTTATCGATTCAGATGAATGGGCTGATATGTAGAATGCTAGATACTCTATTGTATATTTTTTATTATATATGAATATAATATTACACTGACATAATTTTAATATATTTAATATATAATAGATATTGGAATACTTTTGCAATTACAGGGGGTCATACGTTTGTAAAATAAAAGAAGCTATTTATGTATTATTAAATTTGTTCTCTTACAAACTCAGTCAATTTGCTAGTCCTGAAGAAGTTAGGCACTGCAAAGAATCAGAAAGAGTTAAACAAGCGAAAAACAATCTATGTAACAAAATAGATAATAATGACACAGATTCACCATATATTATTGAAACTATTTTATAAAAAGCATTTAATGAAGAGAAGTTACAAAATAAAGATAATATAATCTTCAGTATTACAGTGATATTGATGTTCTTCAATCCAACATATAATCAAACTAAAATAGTGTCATCAAAAGTATAGGAACATATGAACAAATGGGATTCTGATCCAATTGTATGAAATTGGGTAAGTTATTATTCATTTAATCTGAATTACTTTTATTTACTAACAAGTCTTGTTATAATTTAGCTTGAGTACAAGGAATCATTGGAAAATGATATGATGAACTATGATAGTATAACAGAGGATAATAATGAAGAGTTTGCAGATTTTAATAATCAATCAGATAGTTCAGATGAAGGCGATAATCAAGATGAAAAGGATAGTTTAGATGATAGTAACGATACAGAATAATGATAATACACATTTTTAAATATCCTACGCGACCTTATTTCAGAAGTTAATACCACAGTTCCTATATCTTATAATTCACTTAAAGATGTCAAAATTGAAGTTATCAGTTAGTAACTAAAAATATCTTTAACTTTTTTCTTTTTAAACCATCATAACGAAAATTTTGTTTTTCTTTTAGATTATAATGTTATTATATTTCTTTATGAAATTTCAATTTTAATAAAATTGTTACAGACCGGGTAATATAACAAAAATAATCGAAAAAATAACTTATACATGACCAATATTCTAATTAATATAATTATATATTTATTACAATAATAAACTAATAATAAACTGTATGTTATAATCACATGATTTTTAACACGTATTATTAAAAGTTAAAAAGTATTGATTTACGTTAATCATTACTTAGCATTAATTACGTTGTTTAGTGTTGCGTTTATAGAACAATGTCAATCAGCATCTAGCAATGAACTATGCATTGATCTGCATCTTTCTAACTTACTGATGATATTAAATCAATATAATACTTAAAGTAAATCAGAAACAATTATCAATGTAATAAGTACTTTAATTATATATTAAAAAAGACTTAAAGTAAATCAGAAACAATCTATTAATACATTAGATCAAAATAACTTAAAGTAAATCAGAAACAATACTTTAATTATGCATTAAATCAATACAAGATTCGAAAACAATTTATTGATGTATTAGATTAAAATAACTTAAAGTAAATCGGAAACAATAATTTCATCATGCATTAAATCAATACAAGAATTAGAAATAATTTAGATCAAAACAACTTAAAGTAAATCAGAAACAATACTTTAATTATGCATTAAATCAATACAAGATTCGAAAATAATTTATCGATGCATTAGATCAAAACAACTTAAAGTAAATCAGAAACAATA